ACTCTGGGAGAAAATCAGGCCAACGTTTTTTCTGTTCAGGTTCTAGCGTACGCAGCAAATCATGCATGCTGCGGTTGAACCGCTCGCACTGTCCGTTTCCTTTCGGATTAAATGTGGTTGTTCTAGATTTGTTGATCCCGTAGTGGCTGCACAGTTGGTTAATTACTTCTGACTCGAAGGCCCTTCCTTGGTCAGAGTGTAATTGTCTTGGTATGCCATATTTGATGAACCAATGTTCTATTAAGACCTTTGCCACTGTTTTGGCAGTCTGATCTCGTGTGGGCACCGCCACAGTCCATTTGGTGAATACATCAGTCATTACCAACACATGTTCCGTCCCATCCGATGATTGTTCCAACGACGTAAAGTCCATAGCCACAATCTCTAGTGGTTTTGTCGCTAGTAGGTGTCCTGATGGCTGTCTCATTTTGACAACTGGCATTTTCGCATGCTGACACCTCACACAAGCCTCACAATGGCGTTTGACCTCCATTTCCATATTGGGCCAGTAACACCTCCGTCGTAAAATTTTGTGCGTCCTGTCCTGACCCTGGTGTCCTGCCCTGTCATGTGCAAACCTTAGCACTTCTTCTCGTAATTGTCCAGGCACCACCACCTGGTGTATTGTCCCATCAATTTGGTCATGAATTCTCCGCATGAGAACACCATCCTTTATACTGAGACGGTCCCACTGACTCAGTATTTTCTTTGTTTCTCGACCAAATTGTTCTCTTTCCCTTCTTCCTGGGAATTTTTGTTCCTGGACGTGTTTCAACAGCGGCTGTAAGCCGCTATCCGTTCTCTGGGCATCTCTTATCTCTTTGTGATTAAGGCAATTAAAATCACCAATGTCCATATGACGGGGCTCTGTGGATCTGTGCTCCACCACAGTCTGCCCGTTTTGCATCACCTCTACTTCTTCAATAGAAATGTGCAAGACTTCTACTTCTTTTTCTTCATCTGCTATAAGAAGTGTATTATTTTCAACCATTTTCATTAGTTCTAATACTTGCTTTTCTAACTGTTGATTCAATAGCCTTTCCTTTTCTATCATTTCTTCTAGTTTGCCAACACTGTTCTGTTGTCTCATGTTTTTATTTTCTTCTTCAGCTAACAGACACTTTAAAGATGAACATTTCTCCTGTGCTTTTAATTTGCATGAACTTTCCCTATCCAGTTTCATGGTTAACATTGAGATCTCATTCTTAAGTTTACCAATTTCTTTCTTATCATAATTTTTCTCTGCCAACAAATTGTTCACTTGAAACTTTTCAACATCCAAGTTCATTTCACAGTTCATTTTTTCTATTATTAACAAGTCTTTTGAATTCTTAAGTTCTTCCACCAAGGCTATAGTATCTGTTAGCTTAGTTTCACAATTCTGAAGTTCAGAACGCTTCAAATCTAATTTTCCTTGTGTAATTTGAAGTTCTTTTTCAATATCTGATAATTTCTCTTCAAGTCCTGTTTGAGACTCTTTCATTGTTTGTCCCATTTTGTTTCTTAAGCCATAACCTCGCCACTCTGTAGCCTTGTCTTGCCTTACAGAGGGCGATCGTTTCACCGGACAGTACCGTGCCACATGTCCGGGTTGAGAGCAGGACAAGCCGATTGGTCGACCGTCAGCCGTCCACCGGAGCGATGGACCAGCAGGTCGCGGCTGTCCAACCTGACCATGTTTTGTCCCGTTTTTGCCCTGATTCTCAGCTGTTGACCTGCTTTCTAACCTCTCCAATCGTTGGCCAACCGTATCCAGGTGGGCCAACAGTCGGGCCATCATGGTTTCCATCGTGCCGGTCCCTGTGGGTGGGGATTGTTTCTGTTCCGGCACCGAGACTTTGTCTACCGAACAGTTCGATTGGTCCTCATCCTCGGACCTGCGGATCGCTGAGTTCCTGACCTGAAGGAAGGTCAACTGTGGGTCTTTGTAGACCTCTTCTTTCAAATATCTTCTTGCCATAGGGGTCGCCAGCCCCTCGATGAAATGATCCCTCAGCAGGCGCGCATCCATGTCGGGTATTTTGCCTTTTACAGCTTCAAAGGCCCCGTTCATTCGGTGTGAATACTCCATCACACTCTCCGCCATTCTCTGCTTTACGCCTACGAACACCGATAGCAGTTGCGATCCCGACCGTCTCTCCCCAAAGGTCTCCATAATTAGATCCAGCACCTTATCTGGATCTGATTGGGTGGTTTTATCGTGGCATTTGACCTCTGCCCTAACCGTCTCTCCTATACTGCCCATCAGCAGTCTTAATCTTTCCTCTGGTGACATGTCTCTCGAGGCCCAGGCCGCTTTGACCTCTTCACTGAACCTGTTGGTTAAAGTTGGATCACCGTCCCCGTAAAATTTGTTGATGTGGGACTCACTGGGCAGGACCACAATATGGATCGGCTTTTTGTCCAAATTTTGTCCTGGTCCCTCTGGAGGCAAAGGGTCATCCTCACCGTTGCCTATCTTATCTGACTCAGATTGTTGGGCCAGCAGGAGTTTTTGTTCCTTTCCGATATCTAAAATATCACTCCCGCGTCTGCCACTCACACCAAGGAAAAATGCTGCAGCTATGCAGCAGATAGTGTTGCCCAACAGGGAGATCATGACACATTTCCAGTGTCTAAGAGTTACATCCATATCTTGGTTGCCATCTTTGCCCAGTATTTGTCCAACAACCCAGTTGGCGATACCAATGCCAATTATCTGGATGCTGGTGGTCAGCCCCATAGCTGTCCCCAGGGTGGCTGGTGCTACAACTAGGGGTATACTGAGCCACATGCTTGCAGCAGCAAAAGAGCATGTGACACCAAGCCAGAATGATAATGAAAGGTGTCTCATCTCTGTTCTTTTCAATTTCCTCGATTCTGATTTCAGTTTTCCCTTTTATTTATTTCCTTCAAATAAAAAAAGACCTTTCTTACCGTGTGTGTATGAAAAATTTTCCTCGTTCCTCAATTTTCACTGTTCCTGAATGTCCGAATTCACACACACACGAAACACAGTTATGAACAAGGTTGACTATGGGTGCCTAAAGCGGCAAGTCTAGTTGAATTCATCCTGTCCGACGACGCCAAATGTGACCTAGGCTACTCGCAGCGCCATATGTGACCCTAGGCTACTCGCAGCGCCAAATGTGACCCTGCTCGCAGCGCCAAATGTAACGAGACTATTTGCCTGTAGCGCCAAATGTTAACGAGTTCTGCTCGACAACGCCAAATGTTACCGAGTCTAACCACTCATTCTACACAACATCGACCACAGTATAGATACTCGAAGATGCAGGTTCGCTATTGATCCTTTTATTACATGAATCAAAGAAATGCTTCACAATAATATACGGAATCAAAAGGAATGCTTCACAATAATAGTTTGAATCAACTGACTCCCAACAGTCCTCACTAGTCTTCATATAACTGAATACACATGTCTATCGTCCTTCTTAACACAATATAACCAACTTGATACTGCCACACAGACTGACTGATCGAGAGAGCGAGAGACTGAGCCGTCGCCTTCCTTATATCCCCTTCGTATCCGTAGTCGTATTCGGTTCTATCATAATCGTAATCGTAATCGATTCTAATTGTTGCATCAGAAGGTTAATTACGCCGCTTCTGTCGTACAGTCCGATTTAATATAACATCTGCACTGTTTCGTCAGCCAAGTCGTGTCAAAGTTGACAGCGCTTGTCGTATCCTTCCAAACTACGCCGTGGCTTTATGATCGTTATCAGTTGGCTTATCAGTCCAACACCTGCACTATCGCGTTCTCAACAATAGTGACTAGTAACTAGGCCCACCCTAGTTACATATATATATATATATATATATATATATATATATATATATATATATAAAGCAATGTATGTCTGTGTGTTTGTCAGAGCCGGCGTTAGGAATACGCGGGGCCTAGGGCCAACCATCCGCGCGGGACCTTTCCATTATATATATATATATATATATATATATATATATATATATATATATATATATATATATATATATATATATATATATATATATATATATATATATATAAAGGCCTATATAATGTGATGTACACACAATAACACAAATGTTTTGGAGTTTATAAGCTAATGTCAAACTTTCCACTATAATAACAGATTTTTATCTCTCCCCTGTATTAACCCAATGTTCGTAGTTTTTTTTCCTTTGCTAAGATATTAAATCACTTTTGACAGTTATGTAATTCATACCAAATCACTTAAGAAAATGTAATCACATGCCGAATAATTAGGAAAATAAAGTTTACAATACAGCGAACTCGGCCTGATGTATCAAAACAGTTTAGACTTCAAATTTTTTTTAGAATTCATACAATATTTTAAAACCAAAAACATTATTATCTTAATTATTGAACGGGTGAATCCTTTAGGTGACACAACATAACAACAGTTTTAACTTTCTTCCAAAAAATAATAATAAATCACTCTGTTTAAAGCCGCCTGATATAGATCCTAAGGCGCCCCCCCTCGTCGCCCTCCTCTCACCCCTCTTCACGCAACTGAATGTTAATTTTGTTATACCTAGACAAGTAGGCCTACATATAGAGTTTCTTCCAGGCATCTCTTCGAAAACGAAATGAAATTTATATAATTTATATAGAAAATATATACTTTTAACAGTGTCCGCCCCCCCCCCCCCCCGAAGAAAGTCTAACGCCCCCCTCCCACCGAAAATTTCAAGTGCCCCTTCCCCCCCCCCCCCCCCCCCGAAGAAAAAAGTCTGGAAGAAACACTGTACATATACGACATTATACGACATCTACAACAAGAAAGTCAGGACTAGAGTTCATCAGGTCACTAACTCACTGTCTACTACATGTGAGCGGCTGGAGTGTGTTTATCTGTTATTATTATTATTTTATTACAAAAAGGTGAATGTCGCTTTTTGTGTGCCTTTTAGGATTGTTGTGGTTTTTAGTTAAGTAGTCCGCTATTATGGCGCTGATATGATTTTGATTTTACAATGGTTTGTAACCTGGTTATTGTGTCTTGTTTATATTTTAATGTTATTATTTATGCAAACTTTGTTTTGGATTGTTGCTCCACTTTGCTTTATGTCCTGAATGTTACTTATTATTGTATTAGGGACTATTTTCTTGTGCGTAGCATTGGTTTCTTTGTTCGTAGTATTGGTTTCTTTGTTCGTGAATGTGGTGTGTCGACAGGGAGGGACATTCTGCTGGAATGTCGAGGCCTGTGTGTTGAAGAGTTTCTGTGTCACGTTTATGTGGTGTATGGTAACGTAGGGTTATTTTTATAGTGTTTTATTATGTTTTCCATATTTTTGTTTGCTTATTTTGTATACAAAGTGACTATATACTAGATCTATTTAGTCACTTCGACTTTGAGAAGTCTCAAGGTTTGTTTTATCCAGACCACGTGGTAGCACGATGGCCTGGGTTTAGTCATGGATTATTGTAGATTTTACTTTCATTTATGAGAGCCTCTTTTGTAGATTTTACTTTCATTTATGAGAGCCTCTTGTTTAGGCTGACAATTGTGTCAGCTTACTGCCTTGTGTATAACTTTTTTTACATTTTAAATTGATTTGTCTTATTTTTCCTCTTTCTAGGACGGTGGTCCGAAATTGGGTGTTTTGTTCCGTTGAGTTCTGTTTCTGTTTTGTATGTCTCCAGTGTTCTGTTTTACCTAAATTCTAGTTTGTTTATAAGCTTGGTTCCATATTTATTTTGTTAAATAAATTTTATTATATTGTTTAAGTTTTTGTTTTATTTTTAGTAGTTTTATTATTTAGACTAAGGTTAGGTTATTAACCAGTCTGGGTTTATCCGGGCTTGCACTGACCGGACAGTAGAAAGTTAGATAAGCCTAGAAGGGTAGATTTTAGGTATCCCCCACCCCTAGCAGGGCTTACATACAGACATCCCGTCTGCTCACTAAAAGGACGTCTTCATGGGTCCGCATACAATAGGGTATCTCTTTATGTCGTGGGCTAATTCTCGACCGCCATCTCCAGTCAGCTCAGGACAAATGCCAGGCGACCGTACCCTACACAAAGGGGAGGTGTGTGACACTGTTTTGTGTATAGAATTACGGCCTGTCCCAGTTCAGTGGATGATAACTCACTAACATCACCATGGTCTGTTATAACAATCAACAACGTCGGCATTCGACCATTTAGTTTTTCCCCAGTTGAATTCAGCAACCATTTTTTTAAAGTTTACAAACTAATTAAGTTTTATTAAGATAACAATGACATTGCTGAAGCGCGGGGCCCCTTCAAGCGCGGGGCCTATGGCGACCGCCCCGTTCGCCACCCCCTAACGCCGGCTCTGGTGTTTGTGTGTTTGTCCTTTATGCATTACTACAACTCTCATCACATCGCCGTGACACTTTGGGAAGTTGTTTAGAATATTCCTGGGGAGGTTTCTGCGAAAAAAATAATTTCAAATTCGCAGGGGTGGCGCCCCGACAGGCAGTGGCGTGCAGAGGGGGGGGGCGGAGGGGGCCCAGGCCCCGGGCAGCCACATCAAAGGGGCATCCAAAGGGGGTAAAAAAATTTTTTTTTTTTTTTTTTTTTTTTTTTTTTTTTTTTTTTTTTAGGAAAGCTAAATGTCTACTAAGGTTTGTCTACCTAGGCAGAATTATCAAATTATCACAATTTGCCGAATTCACCGAAATGTGTTAATACAGTATCTGATACTTGTGTAGATAGGGGCATCTTTTCGAGAACAAGCCCATAATCATTTTATACACTTGTGGTCATCCATAGAGTATTAAAGCCCATGATTATAATTTACACACTGTAGGGGCATCTTTTAGAGAACACGCCCATAATCATTTTATACACTTGTGGTCATCCATTGAGTATTAAAGCCCATGATTATAATTTACACACTGTAGGGGCATCTTTTAGAGAACACGCCCATAATCATTTTATACACTTGTGGTCATCCATAGAGTATTAAAGCCCATGATTATAATTTACACACGGTAGGGGCATCTTTTAGAGAACACGCCCATAATCATTTGATACACTTGTGGTCATCCATAGAGTATTAAAGTCCATGATTATAATTTACACACTGTAGGGGCATCTTTAATGTAATTTGCTTATATTCATCATAATACTTTTGAAGGGCATCCAAACAGTAATTATGCCCGCATTCATTTTATATATCGTCAGGGTATCTTTAAAGTAATTTACTTGTATTCACGTTTGTATTTATATAATTACAGCAATTATGCCCATATTCGTATATATATTATCGGATATTTATTATGCTTATATTCATTATTGAATGTCTGAAGGGCATCCCTACAGTAATTATGCCCTTGTTCGCTTCATATTTTATCGGGCATCTTTATTATGTTTCTATTCATTGCATAATGTTTGTGGGGCATCCTTATTCATTTTGATGGACGTAACGGCATTCGTAGACTGATTAAGCGCACATCCTCTTGGTTTTTTTCTTATTATAATGATATTCTTTATTCATGGCCATTTGGATTTTTGTGTACGGTTAAATACAAACTTTCAAGTCCGTACTGTTTTGATACACTGGGCCGGGCCGAGTTAACTCATTCTAAAGTTGTCCTTAAGTCTCACACTTCTTAATTACCGGCATTCGCGGCCGCCCGGTCGTACTGTCCAAAAACACATAAATAAGGTGTAGCTGGCTGTCACTTGTTCCCCCCCCCCCCTCACTTTACGCACAAACCTCCTATTGTAAGACCGGTAATGTAATACCTGGACGCTCTATTGGCACGGCCAGAGATCCAGTAATGTAGTACTCGAATCTGGAGACTTTTTTTGGGGGATGTTCCATCCCATAACCATAAATTTAAATGCACAGTCTGCGTGATCTTTCACCTCCCCCCCCCCAACTTTCACCCACCCCAAAGCCAAAGCATCTACTGTCACCCACCCCTAAACCCCACACTACTGAGCGTTCTTATTACATTTGAGAGACATTTCTCTTGGATTCTATAGGCGAAAACGGTGTTTTTCCCACAATTCGAACTAATTATATAAAGTGTCCTAATCTGTCAATGTTTTCCTATTTGTTTTAATTTTAACCACTAATGCTTGTTGATATTGTAATTTGTCTAAAATTGTGTGCTTACTAACACTGTCTCTTTATATAATATACCTAAACGCATGACTTTTATTCTAACCACTGGCCATTGAACGAACAATTTAAACCACTTTATTGCATTAGAGCGATTTTCGAATAATTTATTTTATTTTTGCTTGTGATTAAAAGGGCATTTGCAGATGAAGTAAGCCCGTATTATTTTTAGATAACTTGTAGGGGCACCCAAGAGAATTTATTCGGTTTTGATGCATATGAATATACAAAACAATAAGAATGTCCGTATTGTTTCTGAGACACTGTAAGGACACCCTCAAGAATAAGCATCAACAGATTTTTAATATACATTGTAGTGATATCATTTCAAACAATTGTGCCCATTTTATTTTTTATCAATTGTAGGGCATACTAAAAGTTGTGTTAAAGTATTTTAATGCAAAGTAAAGTTATCTGTAAAGTAAATGGGCGCTTAAATAGAACTGATGTTATAAATAGTAGAGCCACCTGTAAAGTAAGTGAGTTCACGTTGATTTAATGAATTGTGGGAGTTATAACGGCCCTGGTAGCCGTTACTGGATTAATTCCCACACAGGGTTTGCATATGAATACTTGGGGCCTAGAGCCGACCATTAAGTGCGGGCCCCAAGTTTAGCGATACTAAAATTCTATCAAACATCGACAATGCGCACAAGCAGAAATCGCTGTGCTCTATGACTAGAATCGATATTTTCTCAATGTATCGAGTTAAGACGAGACGCTTTATTCCTACGTATCCGACTACTTCGACGTACGAGACAAGACTAGCATTTTTTAGGTCCGTAACTAGTACAGGCATCCAAAAAAATACACCTACATTGGTCAGAATACAATAGGGTATCCCAAATTTACATACCAGGTACAAGGGGGTGGAGGCGGAGGGGGAAGGGCTCACTCAATCGACCCATCGCCGGCCACGAGATGTGACACTAATGTGTTTCTATAAAATACAGCATTGTTCAAGTTCGAGATGGGGGGGGGGGGGGGCTAACTCACTAGGCCTAACATCAACCGTGGCCTCAGTCGTAGCAATAAACAATGGCGAACTTTGACCTTTTAGTTTTTTTTCCAATTTAATTCAACGGTGACCGCAGCCCGACCCCGGTAGGGTAATGGAAACTGTAAACTCTTTTGTTGGGCTTGGCATATAGCCCCTCCCCCCCCCCCCCAACATCCGGCATGTCCCCAAACTGTTTTCTCCCTCCCCGAATGAGTCAGTCATTCTTTTGAATATATATGCATGGAGTCTTCTCAAGAGTTCAGCTAAGTCAATTTTTTAAAATGCTTTTCTATTCGTATTCTGATTAATAACATAATGTGTGTTATAATTTATCGTCAATTGTAGGGCTACTAACGCTTTTAACACCGTAATTTATATATATATATATATATATATATACAATTTATGGGGGCATCTTCCTTTGGGTTTGCCCCGGGCAGCAACATAGCTCTGCACGCCACTGCCGACAGGGCGCGATTTGTTTTTCTCTATATACGGTATATAAAAATAAAAGTCTATTTTGGTTTGGCATCGTTCATCCGATAGGCATGAAACTTTGGGGAGTAGATAAGAACACTCTAGGGAAGGGTTCTGTACAAAAATCATTTTTAATATCGCAAGGGCGGCGCCACGGGAGGGTGCGATTTTTCTCTATATACGGTATATAAAAATAATAAAAGTGAATTACAGTGACACCGTTCACACGATCGCCATGAAACTTTGGGAAGATGTTTAGAATATTCCTGGGGAGGTTTCTGCATTAAAAAACATTTTCAAATTCGCAGGGGTAGCGCCCCGGAAGGGCGCAATTTGTTTTTTTAATACGATATATAAAAATAAAAGTAGATTTTGGTTTGACAGCGTTCACCCGATAGCCATGAGACTTTAGGGAGTTGATAAGAACACTCTAGGAAAGTGTTCTATTAAAAAAATAATTCTTAATTTCGCAAGGGCGCCGCCACGGGAGGGTGCGATTTTTCTCTATATACGGTATATAAAAATAATAAAAGTGAATTACAGTGACACCGTTCACACGATCGCCATGAAACTTTGGGAAGATGTTTAGAATATTCCTGGGGAGGTTTCTGCATTAAAAAACATTTTCAAATTCGCAGGGGTAGCGCCCCGGAAGGGCGCAATTTGTTTTTTTAATACGATATATAAAAATAAAAGTAGATTTTGGTTTGACAGCGTTCACCCGATAGCCATGAGACTTTAGGGAGTTGATAAGAACACTCTAGGAAAGTGTTCTATTAAAAAATAATTCTTAATTTCGCAAGGGCGCCGCCACGGGAGGGTGCGATTTTCCTCTATATACGGTATATAAAAATAATAAAAGTGAATTGCAGTGACACCGTTCATCCGATAGGCATGAAACTTTGGGAAGTTCATTATAAGACTCTAGGGAAGGGTTCTGTAAAAAATCATTTTTAAGTGCGCAAGGGCGGCGCCACGGGAGGGTGCAATTTTTCTCTATATACGGTATATAAAAATAATAAAAGTGCATCGCAGTGACACCGTTCATCCGATAGGCATGAAACTTTGGGGAGTTCATTATAAAACTCTAGGAAAGGGTTCTGTAAAAAATCATCTTTAATTTCGCAAGGGCGGCGCCACGGGAG